TCAGCATTCTTTGATCATTCATTTCTCAGTGTGGAAGTGACGCGGGGGACAGATGCAATATTGGACCATGTATGTGAGTTTATATGATTTTTTTTTTTTTAATTCCCACTTCTCTTTTAAATGTTTTGTGCTACGTGATCAATACATGAAAAAAATACCTGTTGGTCCTGCCCTAAATACAGCACTAACTTGCTGTACTGTTTGCTTCTGATGCTCTCTGTTATATTGTTCACAGTTCTCTCTGTGGTCCACAGAACCCCTCCTCAATGGTATAGAAAAGAGGGAGAGGTATGCTGTAGTACTGTCCTCTGGTGCCAATGCTGCTCCTCCATTGATGTCCTAGGACAGTAAGTGTGTTACTGGAAGTATCTCCGGGCAAGAATAAAGGAATAAATCCTGTGAAAATAAAACTAGTGCAGCTTTCACATCTAAGGACTAGGATGCTGCAATATATTATATTTTTGTTGCTGGATTTAGCTGCACATGATAGACAGAAGCTACTAGCTTAATTTGTTTTCTTGTTGCTTGTGTGTAGTACATTGTTTTAGCCAGCAGGGGTCACTCTTCTAGATCCTCTTTATAGAATGTACTGCATATTTTGTGCATTTATGTAGACAAGATTGGAGATGGAGATTAATGCTAATCCCAGGACTAAGCACACCTCTGTGGCATGATGCATAGTCATGTTCTTGACATGGAAATATTGCTGCCTGTGACAGTCGGGCAACAGCAGCCTCCAGCACTTCCAAGCTTTGAAAGCGGAAGGTATTCTATCATACATCCCTAAAAAAAATAATTCTCATTGGACAGTGGACAGAACCACACAAGTCATTCCTTTATGCCCCATCAACCAGATGGACATCTCTAATCACTGGTGTAAAAGTGCAAATATAGCCTAATCAGTGCAGTGTATGGAATCCATGGCTTTGGTGAAGTAAGGCTGGGACCCAATGAGGCAAGAACCTGAACAGGTGATGGTGAGAAGGGACTAAAGCTATCAGAAAGCCCTTCAACCGATTCAGTGCACTGTAGCACAGAAGGTATTCACTTGGTTCATTCCATCCCAAAAGTAAGAGGAGCATTCCTCCTATTAGGACACTGGAGCCATGCATATCATTCCTATATGCCCCATCAGCCAGGACCTCTGGAGTATAGTGCAAATATAGGCTAATATAGAGCCATTTGTTCAACACTTCATACAGCTGCTTCAGGCTTTTTGGCCATCATCAGTGCAGTGTATTGAAGCCATGGCTTCATGGAGTAGGGATGGGGCTCTACTGTGCTATGCATTGATTCTGTTTTTTGATTCTTTTAGTCGCTTGTCACCAAGCTGTGAAATGTAACAACTGTCATAAAAGGTCCCCTTTAACTGCATGTGTACCTGTTGACACGTCATTGCTGAGAGGATTGTCTCTTACATCAGGGCTTTAGCATCTAAACTTAGTTTCTGATCAGTTAATGTTTTAATGCTTTCCTATAGCTTGACGTCCACAATAACTATGCAAATCATTTACCAGAATGAAACCACAACGTCATTTTTCTAAGGACAATGAAGGGACACCAGGCAAATTGTATTTTTAAAAAGCTTTTCATGCACATACATATATACTTTTAAACCTCATGATACATTTTTTTACATTTTAAGCTCGGCTCAACCCAAACCATTTTATTTTATCTTCACTAGTACAAGGAAAAGTTCTGGCCTCTGTCAAGTTTTTTCTGTCTATTGTGACTCTATTGGGGAGATTCCAGCTTGTTTCCTACACCGTCCCCACTTCCAAAAAGTTGGGGCGCTGTGAAAAATCTACATAAAAACAGAATGCAATGATTTGGAATTCTCATTATTGTAAGCACCCTGCCAGTGCTGAATGGTTTTCTCATCCAGATAACTGATACATTTTGCAATTCTTTACATTTTGAAAAACATCAGACTTACTTGCCAGATCACCAGATGAAAATAGAAGAAAGAAAGCCTAAAAAGGAAAAAAAAAATGCAGCCATCACATCTAAGAATTGCTAAGCTGCAATGTAATAAATGCTTGCTTTTGGGTTTAATACCGCTTTACATGTCACACAGTTAGTCGCCTGTACAAATATAAGGGTGTAAGGCACAGAGAAAAGGACAATAACTTTAAAACTTGAAAATGGGCTGCTGAGATCTTCTGATTTATTGAATATTGTATGATTAAAGATTAAAAACATTACAAATCTTCCATAGGACAGAGTACAGTAATTTAATGTCCTTCACGTATGTGTATCATTATTGTGTCTATGATGGAGAGATGGGTGGGCTTGTTTTACTCTATGATTGACCTCTGGAACAGTTGGTGGCATCCTCTATTATTATTGCTGTTGGCATAGATTGCATATCGTTGTTGGCTCATCAGTCTGTAGATCTCTGAAATGACTCTTCCATAGAAAGACAGTTTTATATTTGGACCAGTTCCTACCAATTCTAGAGACCAATGTACCAACATCACCGTTAAAGGTCAGTGACACCCCACATTAATTTTCTTTGTTTTATGGTGGTTGGCAAATGAAAACATATGGTACCTTTATTTCACAGAAAATCCACTGCTGAGATATCCCTATTAGAATTCATGTGCTATCCACAAAGTGAAGATGGTATGATGGCGTAGACTAAATTGGGAAAATATCTCACAACAGAGTGATGCTTTCGTAAGGGGCTTGTATGAGGAAAAGAACAAGAACTACAATTTTATATAATATATACATAAACCTCTGTGCTTAGTAAAAAATAATCAGGGAAGCAATACAGGGAAAGCTGCAACCGACACACAAAATCTTCCAGATATCATGTGGATGTGCTAACTCCGTTGCCTACAAAGTCATAAAGTGCATAATAAAATGTATAAATTCATGAATATGAAGTACAAGAGTAAAGTGACAGGTGCAAATAAATAATGAAGTAAAAAAAATCATATCAGTAAGTAGAGGCAGATACCCAGCAATCTGTTCACCACCACTTCAATTTCCAACCCCCGCAAAAAGTGCCTTGTGCAGTAAACAAAAATAATAATAAAAAGTCCCGAGAGTTTATATGAGTAATCTAATACAATGCAGATCACCCACAGTCTCTTTGCTCACTGGTGTCGAGAAGGTACACGGACGTTGTTGCAAACAGGTCACTTAGCAAAAGGTTTGGCCCACAAACAAGGCCCTATACATTCATTACAATCCTTCTGGCAGCGCCACTCCACTCAGGTTGACTCCTGATAACAGACTGTTGCCATGAAATATGAGACCTCCAAGTTGTCACTCTCACACCGCCTGGGTTATCCGCATGTTAACCTCAATCACATTATGCATTCAAAAGAAAGACCCTCCATAGTGCATAAACCCTGTAAAAAAATTTATTGTAACACAGATTGTGCACCTACATCACTATTATTCGTATGAGGGAGTATAAAAAGCACTTCAAAATGCGCTCTGCTCCGTCACTGCCTTTCCTCTGCCCCGATGCGTTTCGTATACCTGTGTTCTCAGAGGAATGCATGCTCAAGACTAGAAATTACATTGCAAGAAAAATACATTATTTTTCATCAGAAAAATATTAAATATTGTATATTAAATATATGCATTCTCACTTTATTCCAACAAGCTTCAAGCTCCTTTTCACATTTTCTTTTTCCATTTTCCATACTTTTTTTATAAAATGCGTATAAACAGAGCTTAATAGCACAACAATGTCATCATTCCACACACAAGTGTATGATTCAATGCAGCGACTTGTCATCTGCACAGTACAGCTGTGGCTGAAGTTTCATTGATAGAGTGTTTCAAAGGAGACAACTACTATGGTGTTTTTTTATTTTTTAACCTTTAATGCTTTGGGAATCTTTTGTATAAACAAAAATAAAATAATAAAAAAAAAACATTAACTCAAGTCATAAGACTGTATTCACACCTTTCATGTATGTTTTATTTTTTCCTGCGCTAGTTTGTCGGATTTTGTTAGCCAATGAAATGTTGAGTAGAGTTGAGTTTGCTACTGGACATGCATCTTTATGTGCTGCCATCCATAGAGTCTTCAACACATTAAAATTGGGCAAGGAAATTTCTGTCTATGCAGCACACCAATGTGAGCTAGCACCTTTAAAGACAATTGGATATCTGAGCACATACATTGAATCGCATAGGTGTGAACAAGGCCTTATAGTTGCAATGAAATTTCAGGGACATATTTTATTAGGCTTTTTTTTTGGCTGAGTGCTGGGAACATTGAGCATATGGTTAATGGTTCTTCCCACCATTTATCTTCCATGCCTTTTATAAACTGATTGAAAACGTAGTTTTTGTCAGACAAAACGATTGTCATAAAAGATCTTGCTGTTTGAGAGTCATAGGGAAACATGCTGAAATACCAGTTGGTGGGGGCAGTAGTAAGGAATATGTACTAATAGGTGTTCTAAAAAGTGTTGCCCTCATTGTGGTAGGGGTTATACTGTATAGCACAGCAAGAAAGGAGGATCATGAGAAGGCTTACAGTACAGGTCATAGCAGGTTTAATAGTTCTGTGTAGCTGTGTTCCTTAGGCTACTTTCACACTGCTCCAAAACGCGGTAAAAACGCATATGTTTGTTTGGTGTGTTTCCAGTGCATTTTGCACCTGTGAAAAAGGACATATAACCCAAAAAAAACTGAAAAAGCAACCACAGGCATGTTTTTGATGCATTTTTCTATTCATTTCAATGGGGAAGTGCGTTTCTTGTGCTTTGTTTTACCACAAACACAAAAAATGCAGCATACAGGACTTTTAAAAATGCAACTGACCTGAAAATGACTGGTGTGAAGAGTTCCAAAAGATTTAATGGTCATACATTTTTCTTCTGCTTTTGAATAGTCAATAACGAAAGAAAAACTGATCAGTGTGAAAGGGCCCTTAAGTGGCCCAATCAGTGAGTTACTTAGTGTGTGGGTCAGGCTATTGATTTTAGAATGTCCCCTCCTTAAGTGTGTTTTGTGCATCTACCTTACAGGATGAAAGGCAAGATACGAGCTCAGAAGGAGTTTCTAATGTAGAAGACCAGAATGACTCTGACTCCACTCCACCCAAAAAGAAGCTAAAGAAGACAGAGAATGGGTTGTACGCCTGTGATCTCTGTGATAAGATATTTCAGAAGAGCAGTTCACTGCTGAGACACAAGTATGAACACACAGGTAGGTCACCACTGCAGCTGTTTGCACCATTTACTTTGTTGCAGCATTATAAATATGACCGTACCTGACACAAAAAAAATTTAATGATTTCTTTCATTCTGTCTATAGGTTTACCTAATCTTCTCTTGAACTGCTTAGCAGGTAAAAGAGAAGGGTGTCATATAATTCTGGATGTAGGTTTATCCTAATTGAGCATTTTATATAGCAGCACTGCGTGGGAACTTTCCATTGTGACACTTCAGTGGCCTACCTGCCCCTGTTTTCCAAGAGCATTTAACTTCACAAACTAGCAAAGAAATGTAGCATTTTCTACATGCTGGTCATTAAGGTTTCATTTATCATTCAGGGGCTGTAGCCCCCCTGGCGGTATTCCCGAGTGTAGCTCGGGGTAAAGTTTCAGTACCAAAAGCGGTAACCCCAAGCTACACTCGGGCTTACCATGCAGCGTTGCTCCATGATCCTTCAATCACTTTCCTTGTCCTGCGCTCCCGCGATGTCCCTCCTGCAGTGTCCCCGGCAATGTAATCCGGCGGATGCCGGCCTCTGTCATCTGGGTTCCATCCCCTGCGAGCGTCGGGACGTACGGGGACGGAACGGCGGGAAATTTGAAAATGACAAAAAGTGACATTCACTAAAATCACATAGTAAAACATTCCTGTATCAAACCATTTCACATACATTTTGTCCCGAGTGCTTTGTCCTGTGCCTGCCTGCATTTTTACTGTTCTGCCTGGAAACTGAGAAACGTTCATGGCGTCCAAAAAATGTCCCTTTATGTCAAAAGTGGTTTTAGACCAGCTAGAGAACAGCGATAGTAAATTAGAACTACTTTCAGAATTGAGTGATAATGATTCATGGGGAAATTCGTCATCAGACACTGAAAACGATTTTGTGACTTTGCTCAGTGATGTGCGAACTTGGCGCTCTATTTCAAATTTCAGTGTTTTTGGTTTGATTATATTATTGAATTAAATTTATTATTGTATTATTTTTTATGATTATTTATTAAATTATAATTTATGATTTCGTGTTTCAAGTTTTATCATACCCGGGATGCTTACTAGACTCTTGTTCGGACAGATTTCAGTGAGTTATTCCTAAACATTACAGGCCTACAATAAAAAAAAAATAAATATTTCCATGCAAAAAAATGTACCGCTTTGAGCACAGAAATATGGACATAATCAGACAGCTAGGGAGGTTAATAGAATGTTTTTAGAATAGTGGTCTCCAAACTGTGGCCTGCAGGCCTGATGTGGCTCTTTGTCTTCTCCCGACCCTTAGAGCATTATTTCCCTCACTGATACGAGGCACTATTCTGCCAACGATAGGGCACTCTCCCTATCACTGACACCAACGATGGGGCATTCTTCCTATAACTGACACCAATGATGGGGCACTCTTCCTATCACTAGAAATTCTGAAGGACCCTCTGCACACTGGTATATACCCTTTCAAGCAGACTATGCAATAAATAGGGATATTTAGTTCACACATATTGCAATACATGCTTAAGCTGGCCAACTGCGTCAAAGTAATCCCTCTATAGCCAGTCCTACTCTGCCCTGCCTACGCAAGTTCTACTGTGGACACAATGCTAGCATAGGGGAAAAGACACAATGGGGGAGAGCTACAAGGTTCAGGTCTGGCTACTGACCCAACAATACAACAAACAAGACACCAACGATGGGGCATTCTTCCTACAACTGACACCAATGATGGGGCACTCTTCCTATCACTGACACCAACAATGGGGCACTGGTTCTCCCAATAATACCAACGAGAGAACATTGTTTACACCCACTGACGCCAAGGCATTTCCTACTCCAGCTGGCCACAGTTCGGCCGTGCTAAAGTTTAGAACATTGTTTGCTGCTGGACAGAAGAGGTGACATGAAGCAGATCTAGACAGTGCAGCCAGGGACAGATCAAAGAAAGGCAAAATAAAACAAACAAGTCCCTATTATGTAATTTATCTTATCCACCTCCATATAAGTTCCTTTAGTGAGTAAGCATACATATCAGAGAGCTTCATGTATTATTTAAAAATAACATGATGTAAACCAAAACTCTTCCCAATCTGTCCACAAACTGCAGAATATACCTGGAGTTAGAAAGAATACTCAACTCAAGTGAACAAATGTATTGAATCACAACATCACTGTGGGGGAGATTTACTAAAACTTGGAGCACTTAAAGTTTGGTGCAGCTGTGCATGGTAGATGCAGTAGAAGAGCCAACACTTTAAATTGTTAGTGCCTTAGTTTGCTGTCTGCAATGGGGCCTACAAACCTTAGGCCAAGGTCTAGTCTGTGAGTGACCCTACCCTGCAGCAGCCAGCTGCAGACCATAAGTTTTGTAGTCATGGAGGGCACTCCGCATTCTAGTTTTTTTTGGCATTGGAAGTGAACGCTAACTAGATGGTGGCTATTTTATATATAGATATTGTGAAGTTCGGGGTTGTTTAGCTCAAGTGTAGAGCTCGCCAGCAAGTACAGCCCATGCCATGAATTGTCATTTAAGGTCTTGTTGGCCCATTTTATTAAAAAAAAAAAAAAGTCCATACAACATAGGGTTCCCACGCAGGGAGTTTCCACCATCAACACACAATAACAGTAGATTCAGCTTCCTGGCCGTTCACTTTAGGCCCTCGTCTGTCTCCTACAGACTGTTCCTTCACCAATACTTGTCCACGTAGCTAGGAGTCCCTTGCTGCTCTGGCCCTCTGGGTTGGGTCTCTGTCTTTTTCAGTGAACACATGACTTCTCCCTTGCACACACCTGGACTCCTCGGGAGGCTGGAGCCTAGAATCATGGTCAGGTCACTACTAATAGCCCAGCACACACCTGACCAATCAGAGTGCTGGTGGTTCCGAAATGCTGGACCCAGGATTGGAGATTTCATCCCTCCCAGATCACTTTGAACTCTCCAGGCCTCAGGTCCCAAAAATGGACTTTACTAAACAAAGAGGAAGCTGAAAAGCCAGTTTCCTTTGCATACTACAAGCTAGCTGGAACCAATTAACCTGCTGGACTAAGAATCCTGGATCATAACCTCTTTCTAGACCCTTTTCTTCACAACTGTTCCATGCCTGCTGCTTTGTGTCAACCAGTAATCAGCTAAGGAGTCCTGAAAGATTATATCTGACTGGCACGGTTTTAAGCATTTTATCCATATGAGACTATCCTATAAAAAATATACCTGCCTACCAACTCAAAATTTCGAAGGTATGCCCAAGAACAAACATCCTAAGGAGCTTGCTGTTATAAATATTAGCCAGAAACCATTTGCTGTATGCCCCTCTGAAACTAGTTTCACTTTGTTAGAAAGGGCATGACTTCCCGCCCAGCATGTCCCTGTCCAGTAAGAACATCCTTAGTGGCCACTCTTACCACTGTCAAGGGTTATAACCCTCCCTTACTGTACTCAAAATGGAAAAATATTGGTTTCCCTACAGTACTTTCAGAACAACACAAGTATACTTTCCTATCTAATAAAAAAAAATCATTCTCCAATATGCTATGTACAAATACATTTTTCCACTTTTTGCAGCGTACTAATTAGAAGGCTGCAGATGAGACCAGAGCCGTGTTGTTCACCTGTTCTGATCAGAAGAAAAGAAACGCATTCACACCTGCTAGGGTGCTTGCAGATTAATGTGGGTTATGTATATTACATCTATTAATGTATTCCAGCCACACAATCTATCTTCCACGCGTTCTCTCTTCACATTTCTAATTAATGAAATGTAATTTGTTCACTAAACTTTGTAGTTTAATAATGACAATTGAAAAAGCGCTATGCAGGGCTCGCAGAGGTTTGTGGTAATCACCTTTTACATACAAAATGCATGAAAGCAAAACAGCTTGCGTCTCCTCTACACTGGGATTTAAACTGTACTGTTAATTTGAAACAGAATGCCGTTTCTGCTTAATCTGTTATTTTGAAATTCATTTATTTCTGCCTGTCAACTTGTGATTTGTTTATTTCATGTAGACCAACATTATTTAGGAAAATGATAAAATGAAATATTCAGGGTCTGTAGGAAGAACAGATGCTCCGGGAAAAGCTAAAATAGACAAGGGCACCTGCTGGGAAAAAAATGTTTGCAGGCTTTTAAAGAAGTGGCAGCTGTGCATAAAAGAGACTACACTTAGATTGCACTTTATGAAAATCCATCCACTGGGGATCATCGGAGTTCAGGGAATATATATTCCGCTTATCTCTATACGGCCATATCCCCTAGATTCGGATTAAAGTGTTACTAAAGGCATTTTTTTAAAATTAGAACAAACATGTTATACTTGCCTGCTCTGTGCAGTTTTATTGCACAGAGCGACCCTGATCCTCCTCTTCTGGAATCCCTCGCTGGTGATCTCGACTCCTCCTTTTCTCCACATGCCCCCATACAAGCTGTTTGCTAGGGGGCACACATGCATGCTTGCACACACAGTGCAGCTTGGCCCAGCCCCCCACTTCCTCCTCACAGCATTGGATTGACAGCAACAGGAGCCAATGGCTCCTACTTCTGCCTGAGTCCCTGTATGAAGAGGAAGACAGGAGAGAAGATATCCAGCTGTGCACAGCACTGGATCGGTTGAGGAACGCATTATAGTGGTTGTAAACCTCAGACATGAAATATGAACAGAGAATATCTCTCAATAGTGTGCACTTGTCTCAATTAAAGTGGTAGTAAACTTGTTTATTTTAACCCCTTTGCGCCAGCGCCTCCTGGCCCTTTAAGGGGTTTCAGACGCCGCGAGGCGGGGCAGGGTTTTAGGGTCATGTGATTGCCGTGATTCGCTGTCATGGCAGTCACAAAATCGAAAAAAAAAAGTCCTGATCGCAAGGGGAGATTGGGACCTTTCCGTGAGACACCGACATATGTGCTGGGAGTGTGCAGGACGCGCACCCTCAGCACATATGTATTTTCAAATGGTACGCAAATATGCGGCCGCTCGGCGTCAAGGCCCAGCCGCTGATAGGCCGCATATTTGCGTATGCTCGCCGTCAAGGGGTTAACTTTACCTACAGGTAAGCTTATAATAAAGTTTACCTGTAAGTAAATGAATATCTCATAAATGGTGCACTCTCTCTTTTTTTTTAGGCCAGCGCATGCACTCTGAAGGAATGGCACATCCTTCAGAACTGTGTGCCGTGGCACAGGACTCCCGCGCGCATGTGCGGGAGTGACGTCATTGTGGCCCGGCCTGTCAGACGGCCAGAGCTTGCGAACCTGTGGGGAAGATGGAAGCCTCTACAGCTGTGACAGCTCGCTGGAGGGCTTGTTTTAAGGTAAGTTTTACATTACTTTGCAGGGGATTGCAAAGTAATGTAAAACTTTACTACCACTTTAAGAATACCAAGTGTCAGTTCTGTTTGCTGCTTCCTCTGCTATCAGCATGAATCATTTCTGACAGGTTTTCCTGACACCAAGAATAAAAGGTGAGAGGGGAGGGGTCTCCAGCTGATGGACAGCCACAGCTCTGTTCCTGTGAGCTGTGAGGAGGGGAGTGTGTCCTTCCCTCCAATCAGCTCTTCTCACTGAGCTCTGCAGAGTGGGACTTCAGCTCTCTACCCCCTTTTTTTTAACTATCAGATAAACTTTATAAATTCTGACCAAATGTAGAGAAGATAACACTACAGATAAACAGGTACAACTTATGTAGGAGGATTGGTT